AGAAGCTAGGAGACCAGCCAGGAGATGATTATGGCTTGGACCGAGCGCAAGTTTTACCCTAGAAGGTGAGGCTGACTGGATTTGCTGATGGACTGATGGAGGGTGTGAGAGAAAGCCAACAGCAGTTCCCTTGAGGCAGCTGGAAGTATCAAATTGCCATTTAAAAAAATTTTTTTTTTGGTCTTTTTGAGACAGGGTCTTGCTATGCAGTCCGGGTTGGCTTTGAGCTCACTTTGTAGCCCAGGGTGGTCTTGACTTTGCAACAACCTCTTGTCTCAGCCTCCCTAGTGCTGGGATTACAGGCATGTGCCACCATGCTTGGCTAAGGTGGAAGCGTCAGGGGAACAGAGGGACAGAGAGCTCCATTGGGTGCATTCAGATGGTAGAATGGGACACAAGACAAGGGAGGTGATGCGAGGGAGCAGATGCAGGTGGTATTTGTGTACAGGGTTAGAGCACCGAGCTACACAGAGAGGCCTGGAAGTCCGGTCCAGGGCACCCTGACATTTGGAGAGATGAGCATCCAGCCGAAGGTGACCTTGACAAGGGCAAATAAAGTGGACAAAAACATGGGCTGAGCAGGTTCAGAAGCTAACAGGAGGAGGGAAATGGAGTCACCAAGTGCATTTCAAGGAATTTGGCCACATAGGGAAGGACAGACATTGGAGGTGGGGGATTGTTGGAGAGGGGTATAGAGTCGGAGGATTTTTTTTTCTGGAAGATACTCCAGCACATTTGTAGTTAATAGACACAATCTATCAAAGAGTGGAAAAACTGATATCACAGGACAGACTATCCCTAACGGTAACTTTCTCCCTTTTCTTTATTGTGCAGCTCAGAGCATTGATCAATGTGTTTAGTAATTGTTCGTGGTTAGTGCTTCTGTGAATGTCTCTGGCATTTATTTCCCCTTTAGGCAAAGTTGTTTCCCTCAAATATGCCCGTGGAACTAGACCAGATCCATTTAATGATGAAAATGCTTTGCGAAAAACAAATCCCCGGACTTTTGTCTGTGAGCCCTTGTTAGTTTTTCCCTTATCACCGGGTTGTAGAGGTGTCAGCGAAATCAATAAGAACAAGTTACTATTATTGAAAGCTTAGTATGTGCTTTACATGAATTAGCTTTGTGAAACATGGCTGTGATGTAAGGACTATTGATTATCTCAGCTTAATACGAAGAACGTGAAGTTTTCCGAGGTTGAACCACGCTCGGGGTCGCGCAGGAAGTGAGCGGTGGAGCCAGGTTCCTACCCAGACCCTAGTCGTTTTCCCGGACCCCCTTGAGGGCTGCTGCGCCAGAGAAAGGGTGGCCCAGCCTGTGGTCCATAAGATGCCCATTTCGTCCTTTTTTGGCCAGGCTGGGCATGGGCAGCAGGGGGCGCTCTCTCGCCACAAGAGGACGTCTAGACCCGCACCAGCTTGAGATGACTACAGACAGCCCCACCCAGAGGGCCTTCCCGGCTCCCTGGCTCCTCAGCTCCTCGTGGGCTTGCTCTTCCCTGGTTTATGCCTACTGCTGTATGTGCAAAGCCACTTCTCAGGACCAGGCAAACTCTGCTCTGGAGAACAGGTCCCGGGATAGGGGTGAGATAGAGGTGGGAATGCAGCCCCTTTGATTTGGAGATGTTGCTAAAATATTGGGGTCCCTATGAAAGGCAGCAAGCTAAGGTAGCCTTTCTGTCTTAGGAGTCTAGCTGAGTTTAGCTGAGGCCTGGGGCGGTGTGTGGATTTGATGCCGGCCAGGCACCAAACTCTACAACCCTTGGCTTTCTAAGCGAAGGTCCTGAGCTGGCTTTTTCTTTCTTTCTTTTTTTTTTTGGACTGAGGATTGGACTTAGGGACTTCACACTGAGCTATACCTCCAGCCCTTAAAACAAAACACTTTTAAAAATATTTTGGGACAGGTTCTCACTAAACTACCCATGCTGGACTTGAATTTACAATCCTGCCTCAGCCTTTCCAGAGTCCTAGGATTACAGGCGTGTGTTACCATGCCCAACTGGAGCTGGCTTCGAAGTCCCCAACCTTTAGAACCATGCATTTCAGGTTCAAAAACCAGATCCCTGATCTGCAGGGATGCTACCACGAAAAAGAAACCTGTCTGGTGGCTTTGAAGTGAAAGTCGCAGGAAGCAGGGTGAGAAGGAAAGCAGGCATTGCTAACCTGTCCCTGTTCCCCCCAGCCTTGTCTCTTAGGAGTCATTTGCTGCTCTGGGGCTGGGGGAGGAGCGACCCCCCGCCCCAATCAAGGAATAAAAAGGAAGCCATGTGGTGGGCGGCTGAGCCCTGGCGCCTCCACAGCTGTTTGCCTGTGACCATTTGTGGCCTGACCAGAGGCGCCCCAGGCCACAGAGGGTGAGCAGGGCCACAGCTGCTCCTGCTGGGAATGCTGCAGGCTGTAATCTCCCCCATTTTAAGAGTAGACCAAGGAGCAAGGATGTGGGAGAGGAGGAGGAACGGGGAGCTCTGTCTTGCTGAGAGATTCCAGATTTGGCTTGACTGTGTGGGCGCGGTGCCCCGCTGGCAGCCCCTGTACTTCCTGATTAAGTCCAGCTTCCCCTGGGTGGCCACTACCTGGGGCTTGCAAAGGCAGCTCTGGGTGGCAGGAAGCAGCCAGTGTGCTGGCACTGCCCCAGAAGCTAACCTAGTCCTTGACTCGGAGCTATTGGCTTTGTCCCCAGCCCAGCCCAGGAATGTGTTCAGAAGCAGGGGAGCCCATAGTTGTGGGGTGTCACAAGCCCCCTCCTGCTTCAGTTTCTTTGCATTCTCTGTTCCCAGTCTCCCGTCTCAGAGCTGAACTTTTGCATTTAGAGTAACAGCTCCTCAGCCCTGCAGCAGCTGAGAAGGACCCTGCTTGCTGTTTTCCTAAGCAAACACAAAGATCAAATGTGCCATAAGCGTCAATCACCCACTGAATCAATGCAAGAAAGAATCCTTGAGGGACTTGTCATCTAGTTGGGGAGATGAGACTCAAATATAGGAGTTTAATGTCTGGGAATTGCAGTAATGGTTTCACAACAGCCCAAGAGATGTTACAGGCAGGTTCCTTTCTGATGAATTATCAAATGCATTGTGTATGTGTGTGTGTTTGGTGTGGGCTATTGAACTCAGGGCTGCCCCACTGCCCTATGTTCCCAGGCCTTTAAAAAATTGAGGCAGATTCTCTCTAAGGTTCCCAGGCTGGTCTAGAACTTCTGATCTTCCTGCCTCACCCTCTCAGAGTGCTGGGATTATAGGTAAGCATTGTTATCCTGGACTGTGTGGTTCTCGCCTGGGCCAAGGGTGAGAGGGGCTGCTTCCAGCCTACATGGCCAGGAAGAGCCATACTGGAACAAAGTAGGGTTGTATTTGAGTAGCTTCTTGGAGGCTGAATGTATCTGGTTCTAGAAAAAGAACCTGTATGTTTGAAAGCATACAGGACCTGTCATCCTTTCAGGATTAGTGTGGGTCTCAGGTTATTCACATTATCAGGATGCCCAGAAAATATAATTTTGTAAATAGGAATGACCATTTATGAGCATTCCCTATGTGCCAATTATTACATCACATTAAAAAGTTACTTGTGCTGTTTTCAGCAACACTCGATGAAAGATCACCCCCCACCTTAGTCTATGAAGGAAGCAAGTGGTGCTCTGAGAGTGTCGGTGTCTTGCCTAAGGTCAGAGGCTAAGTTATGGTGAGGGCAGCCCTGGAGGCCTGTCCTCTCTGACCTCCACGCCCAGGGATTGAGGTTTGCAGCAGGAACGCAGACTCTAGCTGCTTCTAAGTGGTTTCCCAGGGTGAGATCAACCTGCTATCTTAGAGTCCTCCTAAGATCCTCCCTGGATGGAGCACCCAGCTTTGTTATTATTTTCGTATCTTTTTTAGGATAAAAAAGATAAGCCCAAGCAAATATTGCTGCTAAGAGAGAACAAAGTATTCTTGGAGATTTCAGAATTGAGAGGACGTTCTGAGCCAGAAGAAACTAGTCAGAAGGTAAAAATACCTGAAAATACCTCCCAAAATATGAGCAAACTCCACTGTCCTGAGGCTTCCTCTCCTTGACACCAGCCTGCTCCCTCCCTGCCTCGAGCTCTGGGATGAGCTCAGTCTCAGCCAGAGGGCTGTGCAGGACAAAGGCAGCATCTGTCTGGGCTGGGTACACAGCATGCTTCCGACCTGTAACTGTCTCCCTTCCCTCAGTTTGGCTTTTTTGACTTTGCGGAAATGAGGCGATTCACCCTCCCCTCCTGTTCTGTTGTCATGGAATCGCTGATCCACTTGGCCTCTGTCGCAGTCTGTGCTGGCTGCTAGGACAGCACACCACAGTCTGGGTGACTTTTAAACAACTGAAATCTCTGATGGTTCTAGAGCTGAGGAGTCCAAGGCACTGGCAAGTCCAGTGTCTCAGGAAGGCCAGCTTCTTCATTTGTAAACGGCCAGTTAATCACTATGTGCTCCTTTCTGGGATGTCATTTCCAAGGGCACTAATCCCATTCACGAGGGATCCACCCTCATGACCAACCACCTCCCAAACCCCAGCTTCTGTCACTAGCACATTGGTGGGGTGAGGATTTCAATATACGAATTAGGTAGGGACTCAAATATATAGACCATGAGGGGACTATTCAAAAGTCTAATGTTCAAGGTGATACACACAGTCTCCATTAAGGAAGAAAAACCACACTCTAGAAAGAAATACACACAAGGTATATGGGTATAAAAAAGGAGAAACGCAAGTTATTATTCTTCCAAAGATAACTACTGTGACTGTTATGGCTTGTATCTAGCTGTCCCCCCAAAGCCTCACTTGGTCATAGTGGGGCTTTTTCAGAGGGGCTGGATCCAGAGTGTGTGATGCTGGATTTGATTCATGATGCAGAGCTAGGATCAAGGGCTCTGAATTAAGGATGCGCGTGCTACCTGCTACAAGTGCAAGCAGCCTAGAGAAAATATAAGGGACAGAAAGATGCGGTGGTTCCTTGTTGCTTTGCTATCTTCTGCTTGCCATTTCTCCTCTGCAGTGCCCCTCTGCCAAGCCAGCCTGCCCTGGAGCCAATTGTGGACTGAAACCCCTGCAAACTGTGAGCAAATAAACCTTTCCTCCTTTAATGTGGGTGTTGGGTATCTCGTCTCAATGAGAAAAGTAACTGAGCCTGTGACATCTGTGTGAGCTCTGGTTGAGGTGTTAATTTTTTAAATACAACTATGATGAAACTATACATAACCTTGTTTCTAATTTGTTCACTCAATATTTACCCAAATTATTTACAACTTTGTGAACATCGTTTTAATTATGTATATTCAGGTGCTGGGCATGGTGGTATCCCAGCACTTGGGAGGCTGATACAGGAGAATGATCATGAGTTTGAGGCCAGCCTGAATTACAGAGCAAGACCTTCTCTCAAAAAACAAAAACAAAACAAAACAAAACATCATGTGAAGGGATCATAATTCATTTTACTTGTGTATGATGGACCATTTAAGTGATCGTAGCTTTTTGCTACTTTAAGCCATATCCTAATGGATATCTTTGTGCCTGAAGGTTTTTGACATTTTAGTTTATAACCTTAGGATGGATTCCCAGAAGTGGAGTTAGAAGGAACATGTTTAAGGCTCTTCATATATTTTTCCAAATTGCTTTCCAACAGGGGTTATATTAATGATACTTTATTAGGAATCTATAAGAGTGTTAAATATGTCACAGTCTATCCAGCAATCAATATACTCTTTTAAAATTAGTTTTTAACTGTTCGAGCCCACACTTCTTGTAAAACAAGCATTACAGATCGAGCCTGAGCTGTCTCTGACTCTGTCCTTGTACTCCTTACCCCTCCCTACTGCTCGCTAGGGCCTCTCACTTCTCCGGGGCCTTCTCTTTAAAATAGCATCAATCCAGAGTCGTATTTGATTGCATGAGCCTGCTGACATATATGTATTTTTAAATGTGTTCTTTTTTCCTCTGAGGGCAGAGGTTGGCAAACTTTCTGTAGAGAGCCAGGTGGTCGGAGCGTTACACTTTGTGGGCTGTGTGTACTGTAGCCACTAAATCTGCCACTTGGTACAAAAACAACCATAGGTAATACGCAAACAAGTGAGTATGGCTCTGGTGCCAATAAAACTTTATTTATAAAAATAGCCATCAGGCTGGATTTGATCTGTGGACTTTGGTTTGCTGGCTTCTGTTCTAGACTATGAATTCCTTGGGTCAAGGGCGAAGTGGAACTCCTAAGCCCCTGGCATGGGGTTCTGTGCAATTACCCTTGACAGTGAGTGGGCAGAAGGGCTGATGTGATCAGTGCTGGACTCAGGGCTTGAGACAGTGTGAAGAACATGTGGGTAGTCAGCAGTCTGCATCGCCTCCTCTATGCTCTCTGCAACTCTGTCCTTCTAGAGGAACAAGGCAGAGGAACACGAAGGGACATTCCAAAGTGACTTTAATCTTGCTGGCCATGGCAGTGAAAAATTAAAGAAAGACAATTTTTGCCCCCACCCTTAGCTGCTCCCAAGCATGATTCTTGCTCAGAGCAAGGTGCATATCAGTAAGCATAATAGGAATAAAAATGATGTCAACTCAGGCAGAGGAGTAACAATAACCAGCATTTACTGAACACACCATGTACTACAGCATTGTTGATTCCTAAATAATCTGCCCAGTAATCAAACAGCACTGCCAGCAGTAAGATCAATGCTGTCTTTACTCTCCTTATATAGGTGATGCTGTGGCTTAGATGTTGAATGTCCCCCAAAGGTCCATGTGTATCTTAGTTACTTTCCTTGTTGCTGGGACAAAATATGCCACACTCACAATTTAAAGGAGGAGAGGTTTATTTTGGCTCATGTTTTAGTCTGTGGGTTGGCTTGCTCCAAAGAAGAAATAGTAAGGCAGAAGGATGTGACAGAGGAAAGTTGCTCCCCTCATAGCACTCAGGAAGCAGAGAGAGAAAGGAGGAGCTGTAGAGGGACATACAACCTTCTAGTGACGCGCCTCTAACCAGGCCCCGCCTCCTAAAGGCAAGTCAGCTGAGGAGCCCCCATAACCCACTCACTTCCACAAGGCTCCATCTTTGAGCATCCCCATTTTGGCTTTGTGAGGATGCCCTGGATCTAAACCATAACACTGCTAACGGCTTAGTCCTCAGGGAGGTGGTATATAGAAGATCACCTGAATGGCCCTCCTTGAATACAGAGCAATTGCATCCACTTTGGCTAAACCTGGCCCTGTCTCCTTGTACTTATGTGCAGAGCTGGCTAAGCTATTTCCTTTTCCCTTCATTGGGCTCTAAGCAATGTAAATATGGCTAGCTGAGGTGCTGATGCGTACTCTTTGAAGCCAGACTTCAGTCACTATTTCCCCACCTCAGGATCTCCCTCTAAATGGTTAAGCCCACCAACATGTAGAGCCACATAGCTCCAGAGCTGTCTACTGGGTTTGAACCTCAAGATAAGAGGCTATGACTTTCCAGGGCAGAAAAGATTTGCATGTCAAAACTAAAACACCAGCCTCCTAGACATTAGATGATACCTCAGTTGTGTTATGCAGATTGATCTTTCTGCATGTCCTCCTCTCTGCATCCTGTAGAGATGCTTTCTGGCCTCCTGGCTAGCCCAGCTCATGGTACTCACATTATTCCTGCCATTCTCACAGTCGCTCATCTTCTAGCCACTCTCTTCACAAATAATAAAATCTGGGTTAGATGCTGGGGTAGAGGCCTTTGTTCTTTGTAAACTCTCGTCTAGACCAGAATCAGGACCCCTTGGCTGCCCTTAATTATAAATATGTCTTAGTGTGTGTTTACTCTCACTGTGGGTTGCACTGGAGGTGGTAGATTAAAATTAATTGGGCAGTATTCCAATAATGTTTACATGCAATTACAAATACAAGCTTTCCAGACTGCAATGAGGATAAATAAAGAGTCTCTATAATGGCAGGACTTTTAAGCGCTGGGATCAAGTAGGAGGTCACTGGAGATCTGTCCTTGAAGAGGGTTGGGGATCTCAGTCTCTTTTTCCTTCCCTCTTTGCTTTTTGGCTGATGATATGAATAGTTTGCTCTGGTACCTGCTCCCCATATTACTACCTGGAATGCTCTATTAGAAACCTAAGGCAATGTATCTACTTGATCATTCACTGGAACTTCTAAAATCATGAGCTAACTGATCCTTTTCTTTTATCAGTTAATTGCCTCGGGTATTTTGTTATAGTAACAGGAAACTATCTTGAATGAGGACACAGAAGAACAAAGAGATGACTGTGCCCAAGCACTCACACCTGGTGATTAGAGGAACACAGGATTTGAACCAGTGTCTCCACAGCAGTGTCACCACTGTGCTGTCTGCCTCAGTGGCAGACACTGTCTGTTGCTTGCTCAATATCTACCTTCTTCCATAGTGTCAATATGCTTAGGTGACCCATATGCTGAGGTGACACACTAGTTTCCAAACTCCCTTGCAGTTAGGTTTAGTCAATGAGCTGTAAATGAAAACACTTCAGTTATTTCTTTTTCTTGTGGCTTGTCAGGCAAGCATGATGACTGGTGCTCCAGCAGCCACAGTGAAACCTTCTTGTAGATAGAAAGCATGTACAGAGAACGGGGAGGCAGAAGCATAGGAAGATCCTGGGAGCTACCAAATCAATCCTGGGTGCCTTATTCTGGATCCTTCCTTCCTTCCTTCCTTCCTTCCTTCCTTCCTTCCTTCCTTCCTTCCTTCTTTCTTCCTTTCCTTCCTCCTCCTTCTCCTCTTTCTTCTTTTTTGTAAGCTGAGAGAGAAATAAATCTCTATCTTGTTTAGGCCACATCGACCAAGTTTCTCTCTTACAGGAAGATAAATGCAATTCCTAAGTGTTAAAGCCTCCAAGAAGAAACCAGAGCCTCTTATAACACAAAAGTGTTTCTAAGAGGAGTCCATTAGGCAGGATCTAAACATACCTCTCTTTCCTCCGCCTCTCATGCCAGGGTCATCAAATGCACAGAGAGGAAATGATTGAAGTATGTGCCAGGGGTTAACAGAAGTGGGATCAAGGGGAGGGGAGGAAATGAGCCAAAAGGAGAAGAAGGAAGGACTGTCCCTACCAGTGGTGGAGGACTGGCCACTCAAGGGAAACAGCAGCATTGAAACCTTGCATCCTTTGAGGAGTAGAAGCCCAAATTACTATGGCTTCTGAACAGATTAGATGATACACATGAACCCAAGATACAGGACTGTCCTGGGGGGCCCAGGTTTATGTGGGCTTGCAGCCCTCAGGGACATTGCTTAAGAGCTGCATGCTCCCTCCTTCCCAGGGGCCACTGCACTAATTGTGATGTTACCAAGAGTGGGACTACGGTTTGGTGGAAATGAAGCTAACTGGTGGATCAGTGGAGTGGTATCCACGCATTTTCCAGGAGGTGACCAACACGGTGAGGCCTCCTGCTGCCAAAGTGGAGAGGGCTTAGGTTTACTCGGTAAGGTCTACCATTAAGAGATTTAGTCCGGGATGGAGCTGTCATCCTGAGCCAGAACAGATTTTTATCTGCTATTGTCTTCCTGCTCTATCTCCATGAGAGAGAATTACATAGAGCTTTTCTAAATCAGGAGCCTCAGACTTCCAGGCAGCAAACATAGAATTTTCTGTGGATCTCTGGTTAGGGATTCCACTGAGAGCCATGTCCTATCCCCTGATGATCTTCAGATCATGTTGGTGGCACACACGGGAGGTCAGGTGTAGGAACTCCTGGGTGGAGGCTGTCTGAGACCAGGTGAGGAGTAAGGCAAGTAGTAAACCCACCCCACGGAGGACAGAGATTCAGGGGAAAGTCTGGGTCTGAACTGAAACAAAGAGAAAGAAAACCCTCACCCATGCCTTTGCAAGGGGCCAGGCCTGTGCAGTTAACCTTGAAAGAAAGTCAGGGACTCAGCCTCACACTTTACCCTTGTCCCGACAAGGGCAGCATTTCCAAGTTTTCCCTCAGATGACTCCCTATCAAGACAATCTGTAGATTTTCTTCCAGTCGGCACATTGGCTGCAAAGATAATGTAGGTATTTTCAGTTAGCCCGGAGCAGAACAGATAAGGGATGGTGGGGAGGGACGGCCGAGAAGTTGATTGAGTGACCAAGATAAATTTACTGTACCACAAGAAATTGAAATGCAAAAATAAGGATTGAGAGCAACTGAAATATTTAAAAAGATAGAGAAGAGACAGTCTAAGGGAGCCGCTTACCCCTTCATCGCTTGAATATTGCAAAAGATAATAGGGTGAAGAAAGGACCAGAATAGAAACTAGCCATTAAGGGAGACAGAATGACAGAGTTTGGCTTACAAATGGGAATATAATTAAGAAGGAAGGAAAGGGAGAAGGGTTTGGGGCTTGTCTTCTTGACCTCTGGTCTTATTTAGGTTATGTCAGAGAGAACGCCTTTCTCTGTTGTGGTTTCTGCCTTTAACAAAGCCTTCTCTGGACCCAAGGTCTGTGGACCAGGTAGGCACTAGGGACATAGAGGTACCAGCTGGATTGGTTGCTGTAACTAAGAGACGCACTGGTTATCTCATAGTTTAGATATAGGAACTTATTTCTCTGTTATGTAACCGTCTAGGGCAAGCTTTCTATCCAGTCATTGAGGGACCCAAGCTCCTTCTGTCAAGCCTTGGTGCTGTCTACAGGGCTAAGGCTGGGCTACTGTGGCTCCAGCCACAGGGGAGGGGACAAAACCTAGAGAAGACACAGCCACATGTCCCAAGGCTCAGGGATCTCTCATTTCTAATCCTGTTCTTTCAAGGGCCTCATTAACTGCAAGGGAGGCTGGGAAATGTAGTTGCAGCAAGTTCTCAGAAAGAACAGACAGTGACCTTGGGAGGAACACCAAGAACTGATTGGAATGAGAGCCCAGAGTGTCTGAGGTGCTGGTGGGCAGCTGAGAGAGCTGGTCTGGTTTACCCCAGTGCCTGAGCTTCTGCCCACCAGCAGGAAAGATGCCCACAGAGACTCTGCTAACTGTGTGTTGTGCTATCAGGACCAGCCAGATCTGACAGCAGATGCATTTCTTGGTGAAGCTATGGGAAATGTATCTCCTCATCTTGCAAGTGATCACCTCCCACCTCCTGACCCCGAGCTGGGCTGTAGCAGGCTGAATGCTTATTTCTCCTTCTCGAGAATAGGAGCACCATCCTGCGGAGAGTCTGTCTCCTCATTTTCCCAAATTGAGAGTAAAATCAAGGCTGGCAGGAAACCATGTCAAACAACCAGGCCACTGAAAGGTGGCCCCGAAAGAGAACAAAGGTCAGTGAAGCACAGGCCTCCCCTCCTGCCACCGGCACTAAGGTGGGGTCTCTTCAAGGGTGGAGATGGGGAGGGAGTGTTTTCATCCACCAGGTCCCAGTCAGCTAGCCCCAACCTGTCTTCCTTAGATGCGCCGATTGTCAGGCCTTGGCAACCTCTCCAGGCCCAGTGGCTTCAGAACAATCTGCACAAAATCTTTTTCCCCAGTGCCATCAGCTCCATGATCAATACACGCACATTGTCAGGAGCTGGCCGCTGGGCAGGTGAGATCTGATGGTTTCAGCCTCCTATTTTCATGGATAAAAATCCATGCATAAAACCCCCAGCGATTTGGAGGGCACTGTGTGCATTATACATGTTTTCTTGTTCCCAGCGTCAGCGTGCCATGTTTTAAAACATTAGAACTATTTTCTTTCTTTAGACATGAAACATGGCCTCGGAGACCTTGCCTGGATGGTGGGAGATCTCAAATCTCCTGAAGTCTCCAAAAAGAAAGGCTGTGAGCCCTTCTTTCCCGGAGGTTTCCTCCCTGCCATGTGGGAGCTGGCAGTGTTCATTTCCCAAGAACTTGCGAGAAACCGTGTGTTTATGCTAGAGGGATACGCTGGGATTTTAAAATTGCAGCTCTGCCTGTCTAAAATTGCCAAAACAGGTCTGCTGGGGCGAGGACCCGGAGGCCGACTGCCTGGGGCGGCTGAGGGATGTTAGAGCTTACCACTTACCTTGCTTGTGCTGAACTCTGTAGTCTTATTTAGACACAAGAGCGTTGAAGAAACCCGCTCCCCGATTCCCAGGAGGACACCTCATTTCCTTCCTCTCCTGGTCGATCCAGGTTCCTGTCAGGACACTTCTTCATCAGTTTTAAAACTGGGAAATTTAGAGCACATGGCTCTTTTCTTTCTTTTTAAAAATAGACCTTATTTTTCACTCTCTATATAAGTCATGCCAATTCGATATAAAAACTGGGAAATCTAGAGAGTAAGCAGGTGATTGAGCGAGCGGGGCTTGGCAGAAAGCAATGTAGTCTCCCTACTTCTCTGCATGCTGACTCTGTGGATTCCCTTTTGTCTTCTGTGGCTCTTTTGGATGCTCCTAGGTATTAATTAAAAGTCTTATTTCTTCAGGTAGCAAAGGCTCCCATCCAACTCTTGTGCAGTTTATAACTTCCCCGCTGCCTGAGCTTGGCCTGTGGGTGCAGGTGTGTGGTCAGCCCAGTTGCCCTCTTGCTCTCCTGACCCTCCTCCCCATCTTGGTTCTGCTGCCCCACCTCATCCCAGGCAGGAGAAGGATAGGAAAGGGGCTTAAAGGGCTGGCAAAGTCACGGTGATAGGAATCATCATGGCCTCATATCCTCTGGGCGTATTTCTCCTGCAGGGATTCTTTGGAGTGACACTGTTGTAGTCAGGGGCTGTGAGAACAATTAGAATCAGGACATAGAGTTTATAATATTATTTTGTGATGGTCACCCGGGTTAAGCACAAGAAAGTGCAGGAAATCTACACTAAACGCTAAAGACATAGCATATTCAGCCAAGGGCCTGAATTTCACAGTAATCTCCCACATGAGTCCAGATGAAGACCTAGAGCCCATGACAATGCCTCCCAGGAGTCCAGCTGGAGAAGGACTCATGCCAGTCTGTTTTACGGATCTGCACTAGGAAGGCCCAGAGGTCAGCAATGGAAGCTAGAAAGTCTATGCCAGTGGGTGAAGGAGCTGTGCTGGTAGATTGAGAGTCCTACACTGGAGCTGAGAAGTCACACTCAAAATAAAGAACCAGGGCTGTCCTGAAAAGCACCATAGCCATCCTTAGCAACACGGAGTCCCTGAGCTCCTCTGATGATAAGAACAGTCGAGTACATGCCAGGAAGCCAGTGTGAGGAGTCTGTCCTGGAGATTAAATAGCACACGTTTTCCCCTCCAGAGCCAGGAAGCAATGCACAATGTAAGGACCAGAGCTCCCCCAAAGTGAACCACGGCCTCTCTCACCAACAAGGTCCTGAGCACCTCTGATGACAATGGTCGAACTCACACTGGGAAAGCTAGTCATCACGAGCTCCTCCAGGAGAACCTAAGGCTCAAACAGCAACACATAGGAGAAACCCACAACACCCAACTTCTCCTTTTCCACATCTCTATTTATGCTGGCAACTTTCCTCAGGTGGACCATCTACACTCAGCACCATGCTGATTTAATTCAGCTGGTGTTAAGTTGACCACCAGTTTTTAATCCATAATAGACACCAAGAATGCCTCTGCCCCTGGTCCCACAGCTGGGAATTTTCTACTCACCTCCAGTGGGCCATGCACAACAGCTCACTTACAGCACTCTATTCTTTTGCTTTTAGGGCACCCATAGCAGGGGAAGTCTGTATCTCTTCCACAGGAAGTGCACCTGTATCCCCATCACCAAACCTTGCATGTGCAGCTCTTCTCACCCTGCCCTGGCTCCTCTGCCCGCCCTGCAGGCTGCCCTGCTACTCCGTGGCCTTGGATTTGGAGGCATGAGTCGCTTGTCTGTATGCAGTCTTCACATACGGGGGCATAGCTCAAGTTCTTGGAATGGCCCCTTCCACCCTTGCACTCAGCAATATCTCTGTCTTGTTAAAGGACTCTTGCTCTCAGTCTCCACCCTGATTCAAGTGTTCACAGCCTTCCTTGCAAAGGCAGACTGAAGTCAGCGATGTCTGAATGGCAACTGAACAGGAAGTCCTTCCTCCCGTACTGCTTTACTCTGTGCCAGTGCTGTGGCTTGAAAGTGGCTGGGTGTCTACCCCAAGGGTTCACGTGTTGAGATTTAATTGCTATCCTGAGATTTAAGACAGTGGAAACAACCCAAACATGGTCTTTAGGAGGCAAGGCCTTTTTGGAGGTGATTAGAATTAGATAAGATCACAGGGTGGGAGCCCCATGATTGATTGCTGGTGGCTTTGTAAGAAGAGAGAGACCAGAAGACACAGATATATTTTCCTTATCTCTTGCCATGTGAGACTCTGTGCTTCTTCAGAACTCTGCTATGAAGCAGACCATTGCCAGAGGGGGCCTCCACCTGTGACCACCAGAAACAGGAGCCAAAATAATCAATCAATCTTTCTTTCTTTCTTCCTTTGTCTTTTTGAGACAGGGTCTCACTATGCAGTTCAGGCTGGCCTTGAGCTTACTTTGTAGCCCAGGCTGGTTTCAAACCTAAAACAATTCTCCTGCCTCAGCCTCCTGAGTGCTGGGATTACAGGTGTGTGCCACCACACCTGGCATCTTCTTTTATTTATAAAGTTACTCAGCCTTGGATCTTTTTATTACAGAAATGAAAAATGGACTGGTACCCCTAATATTCTCCACACTGGGGCCTCAGTTCAGTAGAAGAAGTGAAACAAAAATACTATTTCAACATCTGGTTGCAATGAATATAGTAGGCTTATTTGTTTGTTTTATTTCATTTTATTTTATTTTGAAATGAAGCATAGGTTGCTTAACAAAGACACAGTCCTTAGGGTAGTGTGAGCCAGAGAAAAGAACTCACAATCGCAAAGAAGCCAATTGTCAGTATATGTGGTTTTTACAGAGAGAGAGTAGCTCTTTGAACTGGGACAATGACGATCTACTCCAATCAGAGGTAAGTCTCCCCATTTCTGTTGGAGGGGCTTGGGTTTGTCCTTATATGGGCCTCTGAGTGACTATCATGGCACCAAAGTCCACCAGGAGTCACAACCACAATATAAATAAGATTGTGGTTAGTTATAATTGAGTTGGGGATCCCTTTGGGTTGTTTAAGATAGTCTATGCCACCTGTGTCCCTAGGCATGGGTTAGTCATCAGAGGTGGGTGCTCTTTGCAGTTTTAAGAGAGCTTCTCTTGGACTTCCCAGAACTCTAGGCCCACAAGACCTCAAGCTGTGTTTCCTGCAGTGGTCTAGCTGTTAGAACCTGGAACTCTTGTGGTTTTTGGAGAGCCAGCTTCCTCTTTCTCTTTTTGCTTTTCAGGGTTCCTCCTTCCAGGAATGTCTTCCACCTCCTGCCTCCATTTCCCCCTGAGAGACATGATTTCCAGACTTTTTTATGGGTTTCTGAAGCCCCAGTTTTTCCTCTGAGCATGGATGTAGCTTGGAATCACCATTTTTGTCCTAACTGATCTAGGAACTGGAGACACCTGCAGGCTGGGCTCTGGCGGGAGAGGCTGGAATCCTGGGATGAGCATCTGCCTAACATATAGCTGCTGAGTCTTGGAAGACATGAGAAGAGGTGTAAGGTTAAGCAAGCATCGGCCACAATTGGGAGGAGCGCTGCAGCACTCAGGGGGCAGTGAAGGGATTTAGTCACGAGAGCCAGACACTTGCTTCCCAATTGCACCGATCTAGTGACCATTGTAAGTAGTTTTCGTAGTTTTATCTGGCCTTTTGGATTATGGAATCCAGGCTGGCCAGGGCCACTCCAATCTCATTTACCAAAACAAAAACAAAAACAAACAAATGAAGCAAAGCAAAACACCCCAGCAGTCCTCTTAAGCACTGCAAAGCTTCCTCGTTGATCAGCTGGAAGCAGGCTGGAGGGCTTCTTGGGCCACGCAATCAGTTGTCCCTGGATTGCCTTTACTGAAGACGCCAGTTGTAGGACCTGATGGGTCACGAGAGGGAAATAGCTCATCTGGACGCTGTGTGCTAATCAGACCAATGCCTAGGTTCCCAAAACCACTAGAACAGAGATAGGCTCAACTGTTTCACCCCTAGGAGCCACAGGGATGTTGACGTTATTGCCTTTTAGCAGTTGAATGGATTGAGAAATTATGGGAATTACTCTGAAGAAGAAGAGACACTAAGAAACCCAGTGCTAATTCCGTAGCATTATGATATAAAATCTAGCAATACTATTATTCACTGTTCAGAGTGATATTAGTCTAGTCTCTTATGTTCAATTTCAGCAATATAAAGATAAGGACAGCTACTGTGAAGAGAATAAGAGACATTATGGCAATCCCTATTGACTTCCCCAATGTCAGGTCTTGAAGACCTAAAAAGCCTTCATCATCCTGTAATGATTTGATTAGTTCTATAATGTTCAGTATGTATTCAATGCATGTGAAGATGAGGACAACTATTTGGAAGAAAACTAGAGACAATAAGACAGACAGTGAAGATCTCCAGTGGACTTGCTTTGAAATCCATGTTTCTTAAAATTGTTTCCTTATGATCTGTTTTGTTATGTTTAATCTTACCCTTTTTAAAATAGAAAAAATTTTAAAAAAGAGAAATTATGGGAATTAAAACCTGCCATTAGTTTTTTTTTTGTACTGGGAATCAAACTCACAACCTCAGGCTTGCCAGGCAGGTGCTGTGCTACTGGGCTATATCCCTGGCCCTAAACCTGCCATTAGTTATATTAGGGTGCATTTTCCTATTCCAGTAGATGTGAGGCAAAGGTACCTGGGTCCCACAGTAGGGTTTTGTTTTTAAGTCTGTTTGTTTTTTCCTGCCCCAGATTCATTCTCTTCACGAATTGTGGCCTTATGTGATATGCTTTGCTACTTCTCCCGTTTAGGGTGGAGTCTGTTTCTCCGCCCTTCACAGTGGGCCCACATAATACCGGGGTGGAGAGAAAGGCTAGACAACCTCTGGGCTGGGCTTTATGGGTCCTTACAGTTTTCTACTTTTGTTCTCTTCTTTTTGAACCCTGTTTTGAGACTACCACCTGTGTAGAAGCCTAAGATTGAAAAACAAAATGAAATAAAGCCCCGCAAATAACTTGAGGGTGTCTTAGTAACTTTCTCATCCCCAGGATAAAATGCCCAGTAGTCATGACTTAAATGAGGAGATATTTATTTTGGATTCAGCCCATAGTTGACTGGCTCTCAGATAGGAAGGGCACGGTGGAAGGGCCTGGCACAGGAAAGCTGCTCAAGGCCTGATGGCCAGGGAGCAGAGAGAAGGCAGGAGGCGGGAGGGAGACATGTCCAGCTCATGTCCTTAGCATCCTGCCTTTTTGCCAGGTCCCACCTTCTAAGAAAGAACACATTTAGCCCTGAACTCATAAGTGGATTAATCCACTATGTGACCTAGCGACCTTCTAAAACCCTCGTTTCTACACATATTAGACTTTGGGAGACATTGCAGGTCTAAACCACAGCAGAAGAAAGGCCCACACCGCCCAGCACCGATGCCAACTGTGTAAAGCAGTCGCCTCAGTGAACATGGGCAGAGTCCGGGAAGAGACACTCTGTCAGCAAATAGGATGTGAGTACTTGCTGTTTTAAGTCATTAGTTCACACATGAAAAATAATAAATGGGTATAGTTTTAAGTCTCCAAATGTTGGCTTGTTATACAACAATAGGTAACTGAAACAGTAGAGTTTTTTCTAATGAAAGGGGGAATATGATCACCCATAATGCTGTCACAGAAAGATGGCCATTCTTACCATCAGTGAGCTCTGCCTTTGAGTATTTTATTTTTCCATTACTTTCTTTTGAGAAGTTTTAGATGGTTAAGAAAAGTGAAGAATGCTCCATACCTACCACTCAGATCAACATTTGCAATTTCTCTGTCCATCCACAAGTCCTTCTCAGGTTTTAATGTGTTTCTGAACTTTTTTTTTAAACCGGTACCAGGGATCGAACTCACGACTGCCTGCTTGCAAGGCAGGCGCTTATGCTGCTGAGCTAAATCCCCAGCCCCAGTTTTGATATGTTTCAAAGCTACAAACCTCCGTGCCTTTCATTCACAGACACCATAGCATTCTCCGCATGATGGTTTTTTGCTTTGCTTTTTTTTTTTTTTTCTTGCGGCTGTACTGGGCATTGAAGACAGGAGTGTCCTACCACTGAGGCACATCCTCGGCTTTTCTTATTTTTCATTTTGAGACTAGGTCTCATTAAATTGCCCAAGCTGGCCTTCAACTTGTGCCATCGTCTCCGGCCATAGTCTCCTGAGGAGCTGGGGTAACAGGCACACACGACAGTGGGCCTGGCTTCATGATACTTTAAATAGTTATAATAATATTATCCCTTTTATGTAATTTTGTATTTTGCTTTATTCAATTATTTTGATATATGAACACATTTAAATGTTATGAAACTTTGTAAAATTTATTCTTAATGGCTGATAATATACTAAGGAGATACACTGCCATTTATTTTTCCATTTTCTGATTGTCGGATATCTGATTTTCTCATTGTTTCCCCTATTATTATAAGCTACACATCAAACACCCTCATTTCCACGTACAGAGAAAAGGCCAGAGGGCTTAAATGACTCATGTGATTTGCTCTGGGATAAGAGACAATGTATAATTCTTATTAAATAAAATATTCTTTTCTCTTGTGGGAGGTACTATAACCTTGTAGTTAAGAGCCTGTATCTTGGCATCAAAGAGAGCTCGTTCTATTATTTTTCATTTGTGTGCTCTGGTCAAATGCCACAACCTCCCTAATCCTCTTCTACCCCATCTGTGAAATGGGGGTAGTAATTATCTGCCCCTCAGAGTGTTGATAAAAAGATCAGAATGAGGCCATCATGTGAAATTCCCAGATCTGTGCCTAACCTGTCTACACAAGCACCATGTTACCCACATGTAAGAAGTTGTAGACAAAAAGGTATTTATAGCCAGCAATGTGTCACAAGTGAAGATAAAGTTAAATCAAGGTTAATTTACAAACAGTGCAAAAGCTGAACATATTAAAGAAAATTCATGAGCAGAGCATCCTGATAACATTCCAAATAATCCTTTCCCAAAGATGTCGGCCCACCAGGGCCAGTCTGCATGGCCACTCGGGCCACCTTGGTTGCTTTTCACAAGTGTCCATTGTGAAAAGTCCAGTGAATCAGAGATTCTACTTTTCTGGTTTTTACCAGTTTTAGGCACCATCTAGCAATACACAGTCATGTTTACTTTGGGGAAGAAAAGGTTGCTTTGGGCGCTGGGTGGTGTGCTGTCCCTATGGCTTCCTGTGAGGAGGTGAGCATGTCCGGCATCAAGGAATTCAACCGCGCTGTGGCACAGCACCCGGGCAAGACCATTTTCGCCTACTTCAGCATTTCTAAGGCTGCTGAAGGAAAAAGCTGGTGTCCCGACTATGTGCAAGCTGAACCAGTCGTTCAAGAGGGCCTGAAGCATGTTAGCGAAGGCTATGTGCTTATCTACTGCCAAAGAGGAGAAAAATCATATTGGAAAGATCCAAATAACAATTTCAGAAAAAAACTGAAAATCACTGCAGTACCTACACTACTGAAATATGGAATGCCTCAAAAACTGGTAGAATCTGAGTGTCTTCAAGAAAATCTTGTGGGAATGTTGTTTTCTGAAGATTAAGATTTGACGTTGGCAACTGTGTCCTGATTTTCTGGTTTGCTCTCGTATAAAAGAAATTGTGTACTTGCTTTGAATTCATGTTGGCAATAAATTGTGTTAAAATCAGTATGTCTAAGCAATAAAGAATGCTATTCTAAATACAAAAACAAAAACAAAAGAAAAGGTTGCTTCGTCTGGAGTCCTCTAAAATTGCTTGTGACAGTGATGAGATGACCAAAGTAGGGCATATGGGTCGAGAGTTTCAGAGCAAATGTCAGATCCTGCCTCAGGAAGCACCTCTAGGGCCAGAGCTGGCAGTCTGTGTACAAAAATGGTCATCAGAAAGGGAGACTTAGGTAAAGAAACGAGGTGACTGGGGAGCCAGAGAAGCTGGGGCTCAGTGTGGACAGGGGCTTTAGGTCACCATGGAAGGATGTTGTAACTGAGTCATGTCTCATGCACCTGGGTTTGCATGTTGAATCTGTTGAATCCTCCCACTGAAGACATACTTTTGTCCATAAGACCCCAATATACTGCATTTTTGCCCCCCCCCAACACCAAGGCCATTGTCTTCATTACTGTCATGACACCATTAAAATCACAAACAGCATCCTGCAGGATTCAGGGGCTGCAGTGGGTCAGTCACACGGCCTGGATGCCATTTGGCCACTCTTCCGCCTGCTCCTCCTGTTTCCTGGGGCCCAGCAGCCCAGCTGCCTGCAGGGAGCCTTCTTCCTGCTGGCACCCTGTGGTGGGGGTTCTCACATCTCTTCTCTATCCCCTGCTACCTGCAAATGGAGAGGCTGTGCTCAATAAATTATCCATGGGCTTGCTCACTGTTAAAAATGTACACTATCCTCTAAAAATTTATGTTTCCCTTTTTTAAATCGGTACTGGGGATTGAACTCCCAACTGCATGCTTGCAAGACAGGCGCTTATGCCACTGAGCTAAATCCCCAGCCCCTCCTCTAAAAATTTTAATCACTTAAAATCTAATCAGACTTCCAGTCTTTGAGCCTTAAGTGGCCAGAAATCTCAAACTTTTCAGAAAGACTGCTTTCACCCAGAACATTTTTCTTCCTTTTTATTCAAATTATTCAGGGACCAGAATGGGGATGGGTTAGGAAAGAGAGAGATCAGTGTGCAGTGCTGAGGCTGATGGCTAATGGCCTTTAGATTGCAAAGACTGGGTAAACAGATTTAGCACACTGATTCAACATATTAATTGTTTGTTAACCTTTGTCTAACCTTTAGGAAGCCTCTGAACATGTGAATTTAAAACCCAGAGTACACTTGAGGTATTCCCATGGCATAACCCACTTTTGCAAGGTGTTAAAACTCATTAATTTTTCGTTGAAACTGGGCAGGAAAGGGGGGTTTGGGGGAACAAAGCGTACCGAATCTAGAACTAATCAAGCAAATTAATGTATGCAGAAGGCTCTCTCCCAGGCTTGCGGAAATATCCATTTGTTACCTATATGAGCTATAATTACATAAAATGCAGGCGATTGCGAGATGGAGTGTGATTTAAGGGTTGAGAGAGCAAACATAATAACAATAGTGTAATCCTAATAGCCATCATCATTCTAAGAGCTGGCCCTCGGCTGGTGCCCCTGGTTAGGGATCTCCGAGCATGTTCACCACATTAATTAATCCTCTCTCCATGCGTCATCGAGGGTCGCTTGCAACCATTACCCCCTCTCATCTCAGGTGAGAGTGAAGGGTGTCACTGCTGGGAAGTGGGGAGGAGGCTGTGGACTCCCCACCTCCCCTCACCCCTGTGTCCAAGGAACCTCTGAGCTGGAAGCAAGCTACAGACCAGCAGCAGGTCGTGGCCTTGGTGCTACATTGCTTGGCTCTATGATGCTTAAATGAGAAGGATGAATCACCTATCTTTAAGTAAAGGAGCCATTCAGCCACTTAATCTATAAAAATTCAGGTCAAGAGAAAGAGCAGGAGGCCTTGTGGTCCATGGCAGACCTCCCCCAGAAACTGTTGCCCACTCCATCTTCCAAGCCCTAGAGAAACAGGATGGGTGTCTCTCTGGGTGCCACGGGATTCTCAACCATGCTGTCTAGGACCTGCCTTCCAATGAAAGTCGCACTGTCTACAACACCATTGTATTTTGTCCTAACTATTCCATCCACCCCCGCTGACATGCGGCTGTTGGTCCTCCACACAGGAAGAAAGCTGCGTGCATGTTTCATGTCGATTCATTTCTCCAAGGCTAACTGCTGCGTAATTTGCAGTCATCAGATTATGTGTATTGCAGGTGAACCTTTGGAGTCGGCTCTGTATGACCTGGGCTCCCGGGACATGGAAGAGGTCTCTGCAACTATCCAATCTGTCATTCATCTGTGTGCCATGTCCTGCTTTTCTCAATGAACTGAACAAATTCTTGGGACTCGCTCCTGTGCAGGTGGCATGTGTAGGACCCGCAGCCCTGTCCCCTCCAGAAACATACTTTGGAAACTTCGTGCTGTCTCCTCCTTCTGCCTCATCTTTTCCCTGCTCTTCCGCCCATCAACTTCTCCAATCAGTTGCCATGTTCCTGGCTCCCCATCCTGGCTCAGCCTCTCTCCAGCTGTGTGACTGGAAGCCTGTTTTTCCTCCTCTTTCTTCCTCAGTTCTGTCTCTTGCAAAACAAAGTAGACCAGATTGCTTTCCAGGTTGCTTGCAGGGCACAGATTAAGGGGGAAATTATTGCCAAATGTGGTGGCTCACACCTGTAAACCCAGCACTTGTGACGCTGAAGCAAGACGATCACGAGTTCAAGGCAAGCCTAGTTTAGATAGCAAGACCCTTTCTGAAACAAAATAAACAAAAACAGGTAAAATGATACTTTTTTCCTGACCCCAGAGGAGCAGCTATGGAGGCCTCAGCCTCAGCCTCAGTCTGCTCCCTGGCCCTGAGAATGACTCTGTCTGCAGGGTGGCGAACCTGAGCTTAGCTAACCAGGGCACTTTGCCCAAAGTCAGAGACAGAGAGAGAGAGAGAGAGACAGAGAGAGAGAGAGAGAGAGAGAGAGAGAGAGAGAGAGAGAGAGAGAGAGAGAGAGAGAGAAAGAGAGAGAGGGAGAGAGAGAGAGAGAGAGAGAGAGAGAGAGAGAGAGAGAGGTTGATCTGGGCCTTAGGGTCTGATCAAACTCCAAAATTCATGTTTAAAATGCATTGATGCTTGTTGACTACATATTTTAAACTTCCTGTGAGTAATGTGTGGACATTTTTCTTTTAAAAATTGCAGAGAGAACTGTTGAAGCACTCCTTGCAGTCCTTTTCCCAGCAGACCTTTGGCTCTAACTCTCCAGAAGTAACCGCTGCATATGCATGGGTGGGTTTTATTATGACATGGTACCATGTTGTGCCTGCTATTTTTGACTAGACATTTTTTCCATATGACAATGTACCTTAAAGATCTTTCTGTGCCAGTAGGTAAATGTTTACTTCATTCCTACTGTTGTTGTTTCACAGATGCTGAGCATGTGCTCTACCACCGAGCTGCAGCCCAGCCCATTATTGTTTGATGACTGTGGAGTACTCTGGTGTGGTGCCATCAGTTTCCTGAGTGCTGAATATTTCAGAGTATTTCTCCTTCTCATGAACTGTGTTGCTATGAGCACCTTTCCACCTACAGCTTTGCACAGATCTGACTATTGCTGTAGTGTGGATCCCTGGGGTCCTTGGGTCCAGGGACTGTGCACTTCTAGTTTTTGATCACATTGTTTGTGAAATGGTATGTACATCTCCTCCACCGCTGTGCTGTCCCCTCACACCCTCACTGGAATTGTGTGTCTTCTGGCTTGGTAGTTTTTTTTTTCTCTATAAGAGGTCCTTGCTAATATCCTCCATGTCCTCCTGTTTGCTGCCTGAGAACCCCTAACCCATCACACTTTAAATTTCCTGCCATAGTGACCACAGCACAGCCCTAGAGTGGGCGCCATCCCCTGGGTAACAAGTTGTTTCCAACAATGAGATCTGCAGACTTCACCAGCATCCACTGTTTAATATTTATTGGGAGCCTGCTGTGTGCTGGGCCCGCACGGCAACCAAGACCTTTGGGAAGAAAACATGCGGTGATCTAAAAGGCAGAGATTACTTAATAAAAAGCGACAGCCCCATCAGAGGCCACAGGGGTGCTGCTGTTTCCCCGGATGTCTGTGTGCGCCCGGTGAAGCAGGTGGGGGGGGGGTGCCCCCCTGAGAAGCCACATTAAGACGGCAGCTGGTCTCCTACAGGACGCCTGTGCAATTCGACGGAGCTCATCACTTCTCGGTCTATGAGCAATTAAATTGCACCAGGAAGCCCTGTATCTTTATATCATCCTTTAATGACTTGGGGAGGGGAGAATGAGTGCAAAGAGCCCACATCTACGGTTAACTGGCAAAGTCTCGCATTTCTTCAGGGGCCAAATGTCCAGTGCAATTCCAGTTCCTTGTCTCTGCCAAGACCACAAAACAATTGGCTTTGCCCTGCTTTGCACCTCTGGAATTAAATGGTATTTGCAAAGCCCGTAACTGCTTGAAGACACAGCCACTTCTTTTTGTCTTTTCCTGACTCTGATACCTTTAACCCGGCCCACTCCTGCTCCTCCCGCCCTGCAGACTCCCCCGCCCAGCAGACTTTTGTTTCCAGAGTCCCATCCCAGGGCCTGTCAGATTACATTTTTTATTGCATCGAGACAAAAAGCCATCTGGAGCCCCTGGTCTCTGCTGTCAGTGCCTGCCGTTCCCAGGGTCTTCTGCCAGGCTCCCCCGATTAAGAGTCGCCCCCCACCAGCCCTCACTCTTTATTTTTGACCCCTCCCTCTGCCCCCGCCTTGGTGCTAGTGCTTTGTCCCTTGTTCCCCTCACCCTATCACTGGGATGCAGCATACCTTGTCTCAGCAGAACAATGCAGGCTGTCAGCTTTTATTAAGCACGCGGGGGAAAGCACCACAATTTCAGGTGGCTGAAAGCTTACAAATTCTCCATTTGGTTCTCGAGACCTGAGTCTCTCTCCTGGTTGCTGATATACTTATTTTAGGTTGCAGCCATCCCTCTTTGCCTTTCTTCTTGGCCCCGGAAGGCTCGGCCACAAACCTAAACAGCTCTTCAAGTGACAGCCTTTGTAAGGTCATCCAAGCCAAGGACACAGTACTAAGCAGATGGGGGATCAGCTTGTGTTCCCTTAGCTGTAACAGCCCTG